CCCCCCCCCCCCCCCCCCCGGGGAGGATGGCCACACCACAATCCCTTCACCTCCAGTCTCTTCTCAGGATCTTGGGCATGCGTGCACACATGCACACATGCCCAATGTGAGTTTAAGCCACCTGGTCTGGGACTTGAACCATGGTCGACTGCATGGGAATCTAGCAATGTAGCCATTATGCCAACTGCTGGTCCCAGTCATCTCAATCTTTAGAGGACTACATAATTGGACCTGTATATGAGGGGTCCCTGCCTCTTCTCATCCTTGCAATCAAGGAGGATACTATAGATCACAGAGAAAACTCGAGCCCTGGACATGGAAGGAGATCAAAGGATTTTATAAAATAGAATGAGAGGGGCCAGTCAGGTGGCATGGTGGTTAAGGCTGCTGATCCCCCATGGCCAGCTGCTCGGTTCAAGTCTTGGACCTGGTGGCTTGAATAACATGCCAGGTGCATATGCATACATGCCCAAAAATCTCGAGAGAACAGTGGAGGAGAGATTGCAGCATGGTCATCCCTTCATCCTGGGGGGTGGTGATTTCTCGCTTTATCTCTCTGTCTCTCTCCTGTCTCTCTCTAGTGAACACTCACACCCTATAACAAAACTAAAAACTAAAAATAACATAAAATGGAATGAGAGTGGAGACCTCAGCCTTAACCAAGGGGAGGCTTGTCTAGGCCTGAATAGAACCAGAGACCCAAATGAGAGCAAGAATATTCTGGCCCATCATTGGATCAGAAAACAAAAAGGAAAGGAGACAAATCAAGATTCTGTAGCGTTTGCCGCACACCATGAAGATCAGTTCTCCAGGTCCCATAGGTATTTGGGACTGTCACTTAGCAAGGTGTGGTGAATGACAGACTTGCTGAATAAACCAGCTTTGGCTAGTCACGTGGGCTGGGAGTGTCGCTCAGGAAACCTGTCAGTTGCTTTAACCTGGCTTCTGTTCATTGCAGTTTTATTCATTTATGTTTGAGATCTCTTCACCTCTCCTCCCAAAAGGGCTGGGTGACGTTTTTCTTTCTTTCTTTTTGAGAGTTTTTTGCTATAGGGCGCATGTGCTCACCAGAAAGACAGAGTGAAACAGAGACAGAAAGCAATAAATCACCTCCCCCCCAGGGAGATGGCCATGCTGCAATCCCTTCTCTTCCATTCTCCTCTTGGGATCTTGGACACACATGCACACGTGCCCGGCGTGAATTTTAAGCCACCAGGTCTGGGACTCAAACTGTGGTGGACTACATGGGAGTCCAGCGACATAGCCACTACACCAACTGCTGGTCCCATTTAGTTTTCTTTTTAAAGGTGAAACTGAAATAAAATCAATACCCTTGCTATGGGCTCTGGTGATAACTCTTATGAGTCACAGCAGATTGGAGGTAGAAGAGAATCGGGAAGTAATTAAGAGCTTCTCTTCTTTGTGGTTGATGGTTTTGAGGCCTAGAGAGATGAAGCAGTAGGTGGCTTGTCCAAAACTGTTCCTTAGGCCAATTAATGTGGCAGCAGTAGGTGAACTGGTAGGGGAGACCTCGGAGGCAAGGGCAGTGGTGAAGAGGGCTAATTGGATAGATTTAGGTGTAGCTTAAGTAACAAAAACCCCAGAGAGCACCATCAAACCTTGGCTAACCAGGTGGTGGCAATCCCATGAAGTGTAACAGTTCAATACCTTGCTAGAGTTGCACAGATGTTTCTTTAACTCTAAAACAAAATGGGAGGGGGCCAACAGATGGGGTAGTGGTTAAGGCGCTGGACTCCAACATGGCTGACCACGGTTTGCGTCCTGGACCTGGTGGCTTGAAACACACTGGGACTGTGTGTGTGTGCCCAAAATCCCAAGAGGAGAAAGAAGGAGAACAGACTGCAGTATGGCCATTCCCCTGGGGGGTGATTTCTCACTTTCTCTCTGTGTGTCCAGCGAGTATATGTACCCTATAGCTAAAATTTATCTTAAAAAAAAAAGAAAAAGATAAAATAAAATGGAACAGGGCTGGGCCTTAAGGAACCAGATCCTACATCAGCCCTGCAGTTTGAGTGCTACCCTGGAGGCTTGAAAAACACACCAGGCATGTGTGGATGTGTGCGTGTGTACCCCAGATCCTGACCGAATGGAGAAATGGAGGAGAAGGGATTGCAGCATGACCATTCTCCACAGGGGACTCTTTCTCTTTCTCTCTCTCTCTGTCTCTCTGGCAAGCACGTGCACCCTCTGTCATTAAAAATACATATATATTTAGGAGTTGGGAGGCAGTGCAGCAGTAAAACACAATTATCTGTAAGGCTAAACCACATCAGAATGTTCTAGGTTGGCAACCAGAGACCTCCTTGAATATATTAGGCACATGTGTACCTATGATTTGTGGCTGGCTAAAGCTGGGGGTGGATGATGTCATCAAGACTCCACTGAAGGTGCTCTTTTTAAAAATTTGTATTTACTATCATTATTCTTCAATTTTGATCAGAGAGAGACAGACAGAGAGAAAGCAAGAGCGAGAAAGCAAGCCGCCAGGTCTGGGACTCAAACCATGGTTGGCTACGTGGGAGTCCAGTGCCTCAACCACCACACCATCTGCTGACCCACATTGGAGGTGATCTTTCACTCTCCCTCATTCATGGAAGAAAGTAATAGACTTAAATGTTTTATTTTAAAAAATTAAATAGTCTTATGTGGCTAGTGGCTATTATATGGGATGACAAAGCTCTAGAGAAATAGTTAACAAGAATTAGAAGCTATCCCAGCCTTGGGGAGTGATCAAGTAGACACAGAGCTCACGTCCTCCCCCACCCCCACGCCAGCCAAGGCGAGGCTACATTTCTGTGCCACGTTCCTGCCCAGAGGCTGCAAGGTTTCCACTGGCTGTGCTCTCGAGGCAGAAGCTCCTGTCATAGGCTTCCATACCAAGTTCAGTCTCCTTTCCATGCCTGCCTGGTACCGGGCTCCCATTTACCTCTTTCTCTGCTTCTTTGAGCTCTGCTTCTTTCTCTTTCACTCTCTGGACGAACATCTGTCTCATCTCCTCTTCTTTTTTCTGGAGTTCCCCTAGGAACTCATTCCTTTTGGCTTCATACGTCTCCTGTAAACTACGAACATGGTCAGGTTAACTCCTCTACCTTCAGAATGGCTCCTAATTGATGAAAACTGACCCCAGTGATCCTCCCTGGATTCCACTATCCTCCCCTCCAAGTTCTGAGAGAGGAGCAAAAACAGAACCGCACGTCTGAGGGCAGCTGCCTTGGCACACAGCAGCAGGATCACGGGCCTGCTTTGAGGGGACGGGGCAGCTCCGGTGGACGGGGGGGACGTAGAACACCTGGCTCTGTACTCTCTGTCTACGGATGAGGAAGCCAAGGCCCAGGTAAGGTGACTTGCTGAAGATCACTCAGCTAGATAGAGGCAGAGATGGGACCAGGAGCTGGAGCTCCTGTCTCTTCATCTGAGCTCTCTCGCTGCAGTAGGCTGCCAGGTCCTGGCTCTGAAACTAACCACATAAATGAACTAGTTCCACAAGTACTTGATGAGACTTCACATGCTAGATACAGAACTAGTTGACCCTGTGCTAGTCACTCAGCATCTAGAGCCAACAGCCACTGTGCATGGTCTACTGGGAGATGCCTGGGCCAAGGCCCTGTGGTCCCAACCTGGACTTATTTGTAAAGAATGGGAGTTAGCCTGGTAAAGAAGAGGGGGAACTGTGTTTCAAAGAGGGCAGCGTACGAAAAGCACATGTGGACAGAGAGTGGCATTCTTAGGGGCCAGGCTGGAGGACACCAAGCAAGCTGCAGAGGAGTAGGAGGGAAGGTATCTGAGTCTGGCAGGAGAGAACAGGCTTCAGATGCCATCCCGAAGAACTGGACACGTGTCCCCTGCGTAGCTTTAAACAGGAGTCCTGGCTGGATCCAATTTGGAAGTGGGAAAGATCATTCAGCTATTGTATGAAGGGACGGGTTTCCAACAATGCAGGACCTTAATGGTGAAGGCTGGGAGGTGATGGAGGGAACTGTCAGCACTTGGGAGGAGTCAAAGGTGATTCCAGTTTGGGGCTTGGATAACCCAGTGGTGGCATGGAGAGGTGGGGGATACTGGGAAGTGGTATGTTTATGAGGAAAGAAGATGAATTTCGCTGTCACTTGAGTTTTAGGTAGATCCCCTATGGGATGTCTGAGTGGATTTAAATATCCAGTGTATAATGGGATCAATAGGTTGAGAGTCTGAATGTAAGATTTCAGCTTGGGCGTCATCTGCTTCTAGATGGTGGTTAGTGCTATGAGAGTAGAAAGATCCAGCTGCAAAAAGAGGAGAGAGTGAAAGGAACAGAGGCACAAATCCAGGAGAATACCAATATTGAAAAGAGAAAGCTAAAAAAAAGAGGCTTCAAACAAGACTGAGAAGAAGTTGTGAGAGATAAGGAAGAAAACCAGCCAGGCCAGGGCTGGCAGGTGGCTTGTTGATTAAGGTGCTGGACTCCCACATGGCTGACTGCAGTTCGATCCTCAACCTGGAGGCTCGCTTTCTCACTTTCTCTTTCTCTTTCTCTCTGTCTCTTGTCAAAGTAAAAAAATCATCATAACAAATGGAAATAAATAAATAATTATTTAAACAACAACAACAACAAAACAGCCAGGTCAGGACTAGGAAAGCCACAGGCAGAGAGAATTTCAAGAAGGAGGCAGCGGGAAGTAGCGTATCCAATGTTATGTCATGATCAATTAAGACAGGGCTCTAAGGCCACATGGAAACTGGCCACCGTTGCTGGTGTTGGTGAGAGGCTTTCAGTGGAGGGCTGGGTGTGGAAGCCAGACTGCGCTGGGTTGAGAAGTAAATGAGAGACTAGTTGGAGGAGGCAGTAAATGTTAGATCAACTCTTCGTCGTCGTTGTCAGAGCCAATCTTCTTGATGGGATAGAGACTAAGGAGCAAAGCAGAGTTGGAAGAAAGGACGAGAATGTTCGCTTGGAACATGGGAAGGAGCCTGCATATAGGGAGGGAAGAGGGTGAAAACAGGGAAGCCGATTTTCAGGATGAGCAGAGGAAGAGGGCAGGGGGCTTAATGACTAGAGCGAGCCCGTCTCCTCCTCCACCGATACAGATGAAAGCCACAGAGGGAAAGGAGAGAAAAAGCTAAGGAACACCAGCAAGAGAAACCAGCATGACTTCCTCCAACCCATGTAGGGTCCCTAGCCCTGCATGTCCACGGAAGGGAGGGAGTCTGCCCTTCCTGCTGCGGGTGTCCCCAAAGAACTGGCTATGTTTTGCCCCCAGGCCAGCTTTCTGCTGTGACCAGGTACTGTGGAATCCCAGAGGCTACTTGAAAGGCTTCTTAGCCCCCAAATATTTCTGTCACTTCCTTATTGATGCCTGACACTTCCTGAAAGGAGACCAATCCACCGTCAAGGACACCAGATGGTAACTGAAAATGTGGGGCTCACGTCTCACGTCATGCCTGTAGGTCAGACATTGCTTCTTGGTGTATCGTTCCTAGCTGCCTAACGAACTGTTTTCGAAAACATTCCCCTTCTCCAAAAGTATCTTAAGTTCTGATGTGAGAAATATGCCAACGATTATTACCATCCTGTGATCAAGTTTCACTTGAATGAAAACACAAATGAAGATCCTGAAGTTCCCTGGGACAGTCAGTGACTGCTACCTGCTGCTGTCTGGTTTTGAGGCTGGGGAGGAGGGTAAAGAACAGAGTGAAACCCTGCCTGAGCAGCAGGAGACTGATGACGGAAGTGGGGCACAGGACAGAGACAAACTGCCACACTGTGGAACAGGCCCCAGCTCAGGGCTCCTCTCCAGTGCATCTGTCTGGGGCTGCCACGTTTGCGAGTGTGCACGTGCACATGAATTCGTATGTGGCACTGAGGGCATCAGCCTCACGGCTCTCTGGGCCTCCTCCCTTCCCTTACTCTTAGACTCCACTCAGCTCTCCTGGCAGGTGTGCAGAGGCAGGGAGAGAACGGATGAGCAAAACTGGCCAGGGAGTCACCCCAGCTCAGCATCCACGTCTCGCGTCCTGTGCAAATTCTCCAGGGCAAGGCTTCCACACCTCCCGCGGTGGGGGGCGAGCTGGGCTGGCGGGAGCAGTACCTGAAGGGTTTGCTGTCAGGGTCGGTGTCCTTGAAACCCATCTCCTCCAGCTTACAGCGGCGGTACAGCTCGTAGTGCCTGGCGTGGGTCTGCTCCCGCAGATCCTCCATGTTGACCCGAATCAGCATCTCCCGCAGCTTCACAAAGTCGCAGTGGGCCTCGTTTTCGACTGCATAGTGGGGTGGGGGCATCGGAAGGAAGGCCAGCAGAAGTGGACAAGGAAGCAGAAATGGACAAAATGAGAGGCGAAAGGTTTCACGGACATCTTCTCTCAGTCCGTGTTCGTGGTCTGCGTCTATATCATCGGCTACCTCCTAATGCGCTTTGCTACGAAAAATGCAAATGAGGCGACAAAACACCGCAATACCAGAAAAACATCTAAGCAGATGTTCAGGAGCACCTCAGCCCCGATTCACCAATCCGAACCCTCACAGGAGTATGTGCTCCCCCCCACGTTGTGGAGAACAACACATGCATGTTCATCATCCGTCCAAAAAATAACTGTGGAGTCTGTTCCCAGTGTTATATCAGGCACTGGGGATTCAAAAACAAAGACACAGAGTCCTGCCCTCAAGAGTTTACAGTTTCAGGACCAGCAGGTGGCATGGTGGTTAAAGTGCTGGACTCCCACATGGTCGACTGTAGTTTGAGTCCCGGACCTGGAGGCTTGCTTTCTCACTTTCCCTCTTAGTCTCTCTGCCTCTCTCTCTATAGGGTATGTGTGCCCAATAGCAAATAAAGAGAAAATGATAAGAATACATAAATTAAATTAAATGAATAATTATTAAATAAAAAGGAGTTTACAATTTAGAGGAAGAATAGATACAAACGTAATATTGGGTTATCAGAAAAGTCATGACATATTTTCTGTTTTTCTATGCGAAAATGTATCATGACTTTTCCGATGACCCAATACAATGCAACAGGTACAAAAATGGAGGTACACGGGAACCAGCAGTTAGCGTAATGGCTATGTCGCTGGACTCCCATGTAATCGACCATGGTTCGCGTCCTGGACCCGGTGGCTTAAAACTCACGCCAGGCGCATGTGTGTGCGTGCCCAAGATCCCGAGAGGAGAATGGAGGAGAAGGGATTGCGGCGTGGCCATCCCCCCGGGGGGTGATTTCTTGCTCTCTATCTCTCTGTCTCTCTCTGTCTGGCGAGCGCACGCGCCCTATAGCGAAAATCTCTCCCCCCCAAAAAAAAAAGGAGCAACAGTAAGGTGCAATGAAAGCCCAAAAAAGGGGAGGCCTAAGAACTCCTGGGAGAGTGAAGGCTTCACCAGAAAGACAACCCCAAAGACAAATCTGGGAGGAAGAAGAGTTTGTCAGGCAGAGAAGGGAGCCTTGCAAGTCTCAGTGAATTAGCTACAGATTACACAGCTAGAAAATGCAGAGTTAAGATCCAAACCCAGATAATGTGAGGGAGGGGCAAAGCCTATGACCAGGTGACAAAGTCTCCAAAGAATAAAGATATCACTACATGACAGTGACAAGGAGCGATGTGGACTATACATAGGCTCGCATGACCCATCCGGATGAAGAAGCGTCCAAGGAGGTGTTGTTTAGACGGTAGGTAATGGCCAGTCTAACAGTAACAATGGTGTTCAGGAGAAAGTGGATCTCACTTTCTGGCCTAAATGAATAAGCTGCATCCTCAAAAGGGTATGGGAGAGGTCTGCATTTAGGGCAACAGCTGACAATGACAGAGATGGGAATCAAAACGTTGCAAACTGATTTCTGGCCGGAAGAGAGGGTTGTGAAGCAGTGCTCTGTGAACGTGTCTGCAGGCGTGGCTCCATATGTCAGATGCTGCTGTGTGGCCTGACCATGTAGGGATAGTGGTGTCTGAGACGATGAAGGGACTAAGCCATCCCAGATTCTGTCTTGCAGGGCCTGGGAGAGGGTTGTGGAGACAGAGAGGGGGCCTGGGATGAACAACAGGGTCAGGCACAGTTGTAGCAGACCTCCTTGACCAGGGTCATCTTTCCAAAGCCTCAAAGAGCTCACATAACCCCTCTGCTTCAGACTCACTGCATTTGGGATGAAGTTTTTCTAGAACATTAACTAAGGTTAAAAAACTACAACAGTAAGACAACACCTTCAGGCCCTGTCTTAGGACATCTCCTCCTCCATCTCTTCACAGTGATCCTGGTGGTTAGTCAGAAGGAGAGACTCTAAGGGTCCTGCTGGCTACCCAAAGCAATATACTTCTTCCTCATCCTAACAGAATAGCCAGTGCCAGCTCAGACTTATAAGAAAAACTCGCATCCCCCTTTTTTTTTTACTTTTTTTTTTTAGAGAGAGAAATTTTTGCTATAGTACGCATGTGCTTGCTGGAGAGGACAGACAGAGACACAGGAAGTGAGAAATCACCCACAGTGGGGATGGCCACACTGACATCCTTTCTCCATTCTCCTCTTGGGATTTTGGGCATGCATGTACATGCACCCAGCATAAGTTTTAAGCCACCAGGTCCAGGACTCAAACTGCATTCGACTAGGTGGGAATCCAGCAACGTAACCATTATGCCATCTACTGGTGCCATCGAAACTCCCTTTTTTGGTTAGGTGTGGGCCAACCAAGTTGGAGGAAGTAAGTCATCCTAACCATGTCTATTGGTTTCTCCTCATCATGCCTCAAGTTGTTGTCTCTCAGACCTCAAAATCCCTCCCAGGGTAGGACTGTTGGTCCAAAACCCACTTACGAATGTTCATAGAAGAGCATCTCCAGCCCCAAACAGCAGAGAAGACCAAAACTTAGCACAACCCTGACAACTAGTCTTGTCTAACTATGGAAAATCCAGCTGTCACTGGTGGGTCTCTGGTGTGCCCTGCAACACGGCCTTTACATGTAATGTGGACAACTGACCACCCATTTTCAGCTGTTGGCCTAATGGTGGGGATGAGTTTACAGAGAACCAGCCTGCCCCTCACACTGTGCCCCTGCCATCTGTGGCCTAGTTTTTGGCTGTAGACGCATTGACCAGAGACCCCCTCGGCCCCTGGCAGTGTCTTGGGCTTGTCTTATCCACTGAAACCACTAGTCCCAACCTAACAACCTAATGTGTGTCAGGCAGGTTACAAAAGGAACTTTCCTCATGGTGTCTACAATATATCTGATTATTTTTAAATTGTGACATAATCACATGTACAAAAGAAGCATAAAATATGTATATGAAATTTAAAGAATTTTAAATGTATACCACTGTCTCTGCAATCCAGACTACACACTATCGGCGCTTTAGAAGCCCATGCATGCCCCTTCTTCATACCACGACCCCTCCCTCGCCCCCCAAGCCCTAGCAATGAGAACTAACCACTACCCTGACTTTAGCATTTATCATTCCTTAATTTTTTTACAGTTTTACCACTTCTGTATGACTATCTAAAAATAGATATTTTGTTCAGTTTTGCCTACATTGGGAGCTTGTATCAATGGAATACTATAGTATATAGCCTATGATTTATTTAGCTCAATGTTATGTTTCTGGATTCATTCATTCATTCATTCATTTTCATGGGTATATAACATCCCATTATATGATAGTTTACAATTTACCCAGGCTATTTTAAAAATTATTTTATTAACTTTATTTATTTTTTTATTCATTTGTTTATTTCAATTTGACCAGAGAGGGACAGAGTGAGACACACAGAGAGAGAGAGAGAGAGAGAAAGTGAAAGTGAGAAAGCAAAGCAAGCTGCCAGGTCCAGGACCCTAACTGTGGCTGGCCATGTGGGAATCCAGAACCTTTAATCACCACACCACCTGCTGGCCCCATACCCAGGCTATTTTTAATAGATATCCAGGTAGATTCTAATGATCGGGGACCATTTCTGTACATTCCTGGTGCACTTGGGCAAGGACACATGCTTTCTTGTACACTCCTCCTGACCCTGCTCCCCATTAATTTGTTTTGTTTTAGGGACGCTTTCTCCATCAGAGACAAAGGCAGCTTGCTCACATCACAGAAGTCAGGTGAGCAGCCTGCGGCTGAGTGAGCAGGGACTGGGAACAACTCAGGGATTTGAAATCCAATCAGTGGGGACAAAGAGACAGACAGAAGGGGCTTCCTGTGGGTAGCCCCTCTCCTGGTGACTCACTCACCCTGTACCGTGCCCCAAGGGTACTGTCGTGCCTTCATCATCTTGTTCCCTATCTTCAGCTCCTCTGTGCTGCCAACGACGGCAAATGGCAGGTGGGCCTGAAACAGAAAGCAAACAGCAGGTGAGAACTCCAGAGAAAAGGCACTGAGCACCCCACAATGCAACTGTGCACAGCTTGGGCCCTCGGGCCCTCGGGCCCTCACACTGCAATGCCCCTCACTATCATTATCACTGAGAGGCCTTGATTAAACTTCCGAGCTGTATGGACATAAGAGGCCTCGTCTAGGCTTCTGCTGTTCAAAAATTCACAATAGAAGATAATGATGACGTGGCTGAATGCACAGGAACAGACAAAGAGAAAACTAAGCAGAATAATATGCAGACACACAGATTAACGAGCTATTCACAAGTCAGAGCTGCTGCTGAGGGGAACAGCCTCGGAAGGAGGGTGAGTGGGGTGAGGGGGTTATGAGTGGGCAGAGGACAAAGGAGAACCAAGGGAACAGGGATCCTGACCCTGCTCCCTCCCTGGAGTGCAAGCACCCGAGCAGAGCTCCACTGTCCTTGTTCTCATCCTTCCTTGGAGCAGGAGCTCACACTGAACTCTTTTTTTTTTTTCAGAGTTTTTTTGTTTGTTTTTGTTTTCTTTTTTCTTTTTCTTTTTTTTTTGCACTACAGGGTGCGTCGTGTGCTTGCTAGAGAGAGAGAGAGAGAGAGACAGAAAGACAGAAACTGAGAAATTACCCCCCGGGGGAGATGGCCATGCCGCAATCCCTTCTTCTCCATTCTCCTCTCGGGACCTTGGGCACGCACGCACGCACACGCGCCCAGCGTGAGTTTAAGCCACCGGGTCCGGGACTTGAACCGCGGTTGACTACATGGGAGTCCAGTGACATAGCCATTATGTTAACTGCTGGTCCCCTCACACTGAACTCTTGAACCTGTAAGGAAGTTACTATGTATTTGCCCTCATGCCCATGACTGTGTCAGGTTCTGTTTCAGGCGCCATCAGGGAGACGCAAGTTGGAGACACACTCCCTCAGGAGCTTATGATGATCCTGTTGAAGAAGCCCACATTACGTATCTGAAATCATATACGTCCGTATGTGACCAAGGCCTCAAATGCACAGCCTAGGACCCTGCATATAGTGGGTGCTTAGTAAATACACCTTGAATGGCCATGGTAGGGCCATGGGGAGAGGAACGAAAGGCAAAGAATAAACTGGGGGTTGAGCTTGGCACTTGCAAGGCAGCTGGGCCTGGCTTTGTGGCTCAGAGAGGAGGGAGCTGCCTCCAGCTGGTGGTGTGGGGACTGGGAAATACTCACTAGGTCATCCCGCAGGGAGCCTGCCAGCTTCTAAGGGCCAAGGCACTACTGGTCAAACAGAACTAGTGACTAAATGCTGTTTACCAGCCAGGGGAGCCCAGGCTTTACCCAAAGGGCTTTATGGAAACAGGTAAAAAGTTCACTGGAGCAAGCTTTCAGAGCCGACCTGGAGAAAAAAGCCACTTTCTCAGATACTCTGACCCATTTGCTCACTCAACTATTCTACAAATATGCAGAAACTTCAGAAAGTTTGTGGAAAATGGAATGAAAGGACGTGTTTAGGACAGCTGGTGGCACCATCGGTAGTAAACTAAACTGCAGTGCTGCAGAGAGACAGAAAACAAGAAATCATCCCCCAGGGGGATGGCCACGCCGCAATCTCTTCTCCGTTCTCCTCTCAGGATCTTGGGTACGCACGCACACGCACCTGGTGTGTTTTAAGCCACCGGGTCCGGGACTTGAACCATGGTCTACTACATGGGAGTCCAGAGACATAGCTAACTGCTAACTGCTAATTACTTTTTTTAATGTGACCAAAGAGAGAGAAGGAAAACGAGAATGCAAGCTGCCAGGTCTGGGACTCAAACCATGGCTAGCCATGTGGGAGTCTAGCACCCTTAACCACCATGCCACCTGCCAGCCCCCATAATACACATTTTCCATGAACTTTTTGAAGACCTCTTGCATTTACTGAGTGTCTGCTATATGGGATTTGAACTGCAACTGGCTATGTGGGATTGGCTCTCTTAACCACTAGGCTGCAGGGTCAGCCCAGGAGACATTCAATTCTGAGAAATCCACAACAAATCTGTTGCTTTTTGTTTTGCGAGATTTTGCTATAGGGTATCTGCACTCGCCAGAGAGACAGAAAGCAAGAAATCACCTCCCAAGGGGAGTGGCAATGCCAGAATCCCTTCTCCATTCTCCTCTCAGAATTTCGGGCATGCACACACAAGCACCTGGCCCGAGTTTCAAGTTGCAACTGGTCAAACGTGTCGGAGTCCAGCGCCAGTCCACTGCTGGCCCCTGTTGTTTGCTTTTTTAATCTTCATACTGACCTCACAGCCAATCCTTCCTCTCTATTCTTTTCTAGTTCTGGACCTCAAGAACATTCTTTTTTTTTTTTTTTTTCTGAGAGGTTTTTGCTATAGGGTGTGTGCAGTCGCCAGAAAGAGAGACAGAAAGCGAGAAATCACCCCACAGGGGGAATGGCCACGCTACAATCCCTTCTCCTCCATTCTCCTCTCGGGATCTTGGGCATGCACGCACATGTGCCCGGTGTGAATTTAAGCCACCAGGTCTGGGACTCGAACCGCAGTTGGCTACATGGGAGTCCGGCAATGTAGCCATTACGCCAACTGCTGGTCCCAAGAACATTCTTTAAAGCAGAAAAATACAGGCTTCATCAGGAGCTCAGCCCTAGCCCATCCACTAATCCCTCAAAGTGCTTGGCCACCAGCTAGATCTGCCCTTCACCTCACCCTCTCTCAGCTGCTTTCAGATGAGCACCCCACCGACTGTCCCCAAAATAGGGACACAGGAAAGAGGGAAAGAAGAGATTATGGATATGGAAGGTGGGTGTCGGGTAGAAGTGGGAAGTGTTCATCAGTCCTAGAAAAGAGATGATTGACAGGGCGATAAAGCATGTGACATATGGGACACTGGGGGACACTGAATTCTTGAAATTACTGCACAAGAGCCCGCGCGTCTCCAGCCTTTGCCAGATGGCTCTGTAGGGGGCTCATCTGGGCACAATTCATTCCCATTCAGGGACCTAAGTAAAATATGTCGGAGCCTCAAATCCACCTCAAGCATCCTGGGAAAATATTTTCTCTGCAGAGACCCTAAAGTTTTGACCATATGACACTAAAGAGTCAAGGCGGGGTGGCAACTGCAGAGGGCTAGACTGAGGGAGGAGGTGAGAAAAAAATGCGTTGCATCATTCTCTCTCATCCAGGGCTCCCAGCTGTAAGGGATGGAGGAGGAAGAAGGCGTGTGATGTAGGAGGTACTTCTCTGGACTCAAGATGAAAGGAGGAAAAAACCCAAGAAGAAAATAAAGGCATAAAAAATTCAGTATTTCTTTGGGCCTGTCCTTTTTATCATCAAGAGACACTGTCAAAATGCCAGGGTCACTTGCATCCCTTCTCCCTCAAACGGCTGTCATTTCATTCCTCTAGCTCCCACTCAACTCTGAAACACATGGTCCCCACCAAACCGACTTCAGAAGACACCCAAGACCTCCCACAGCACACTCCTTTGCAGGTGACATCAAAGTCTGCTCTGTTACAGTACACGAGAACTTGAAAGAGTTTGTAGAAATTGGAATTAAAGTATGAGTTTATTTGGGCATAAAACAATTTTGAGGGGCTGGACCATGGTGCAATGGTAAAACGTGACACTCTGTGAGACTGACCCATATGAGAAGATTCCGGGTTTGCATCCAGAGACCTCCGTGAGCATGTTGGACACTTATGTACCTATGATCCAGGGCTGGTTAGGTCTGGGGGTGGAGCGTGGCATCAAGACCCTGTTTGGGTACTCTCTTTCTCTTTCTGTCTCTTTCACTCATGGAAGAAATAAACTAAAAATATCCAATTTTGAAATCCATGCAGTCCTGGGACTAGCAGTTAGCATAATGGCTATGTCGCTGGACTCCCACGTAGTCGACCGCGGTTTGAGTCCCGGACCCGGTGGCTTAAACTCACGCCGGGCGCGTGTGCGTGCGTGCCCAAGATCCTGAGAGGAGAATGGAGGAGAAGGGATTGTGGTGTGGCCATCCCCCGGGGGGGTGATTTCTCGCTTTCTATCTCTCTGTCTGTCTTTGTCTGGCAAGTGTACGCGCCCTATAGCAAAAAGCCTCTTCAAAAAAAACCAAAAAATCCATGCAGTCTTTTTTTCATAATATGCACGTCCATAAACTTTTTGAAGACCTTGCATATACGTAAGGAGAGCATTTCTGAGTACTTCCATTTCATTTGATTCTTATGCCAACCTTATGGGCCAATGATTAGAAACCGGATTTGTGATTTGGGAGAACTGGGATACAGAGAGGTTAAATGAGTTGCCCAGGTCCCTAATGCCCATAGCTAGAGCTTTCCAGGGAGCAGGGAGGCCTCTTGGCTGCCAGTGTCCTCCAGCTAACCAGGGCAGCCTGCACTCTGCATCCTGGCTAAGTGGCATCTGCTGGAAGTCATGCCATGACATGAGTCATTTCCATGACAGGCAGGAAATCATGGGGATCAAACTTTGGCCCTCTGTCCAGATGCTTTTGAGAGACAAATGGCTATGACAACCAGCATCGAGTCAAGCAGCAAAGGGAGAAGATAAACCCCCCAAAACCCTCAACCATAGTCCTGGGTGGGTCCTATCTATGGGATTCAAATCTGAGGCCAGGCTTTCCTTTTTTCTGCAGGTCTCTGCAGGAGACTGGCAGGGGTGACATTTTGTACGTGCAGGCCTGTGTGCAGGAGACTCTAATAGATTCCAGGCAGTGTTGCTGCTAAAACACAGGCAGGCTCCTAAGGGGAGTTGTGTGGCTCTCTCATTCAGACCTCTGGTGAGATTAGATTTCCAAGTCTCACATTCTCCAAGAGATAGTCTGAAACTATCTAGGGAGTCTGCTCCTAGATTCACTATTTGTCTTAGTCCGTTTTGTCTTGCTATAGCAAAATACCTAAGACTGGGCAACTTATAAAGAACAGAAATTTGGGACCAGCAGTTGGTGTAATGGCTATGTCACTGAACTCCCATGTAGTCAACCACTATTTGA